TTACACAGAGGCTGCTGAACCAGCCTCCTTTTCAGTAAGCCAGCAAAGAATACAAGAGCTAAATTTTTGTGTGTATTGATATTTTTCCAGATATTGCAAACAGTCAAGGAGTGACATCCTTCCCCCATTTACATCATTAGAATGGAGATTTCACCCCAGAGATCCAAATTATGATTTGATGGTAAGAAATGTATATTGAGTGTTACAATTTAGCAAATTAATCCAAACTTTAATAACATTATGCTGTAAATTTAGCTCAATTATTGCTATAGTAATACAAATACGAAGTCATATTAGAGGCACTGTACCTGCATTGCTGATTACAATGGAGATGTTCTTTGTTTTCACACAGCTCTCACTGGAATAATTTGATGATACCCAAATAGTTACAGTACGATTTCTAAAAAGGTCTTTTTGTCCTATTGTAATAAATGTTGATGATATAGTTCTTGAAAAATGTTTCTGGATTTTATCCCTGGAGGCAAAAAGCATTAACATAAATGTTACTGAACTATAACTTATTAACGCAGCAATATGACAACTGGTGAATTTTGGGGGTAGTTAGAACACAATCTCAAAGGTTTAACCTTATGTTAATTTTGGTGGAATGTCTGGCCCCAAACCGCTAGTGGTGTTAATATGACTCTGTTGCTGTCCAAAATTAAATAATTTTAAATAAATTTCAAGCTTGGAATTGTCACCTTAGCCTGAAAAACAGATCTTTACAAATCTCTTAAACCTGCTTTCCAGGATACAAAAAAAGTTAAAGCGTTTGAATTTCCAACAAAGAATTAAATAAGGCTTGTACATTAAAATAAAATATTTTAATTTGTTCCCTTGCCCTGGAACTTCATAAAGGAAAAGCCACATGTTTGGAAATCTTTAAGATGGAATTAAAGATGGTGTCAATTGTCCTTTTTTGGGAAAGAGAACTTTAGTGCAGATTGACAACTCTTGCTCCAGCCTCTGTTAACATCCAATCTCATTTCCTAGAAAATGAAACAAAACAAAAAAATAACTGCATCGGAAAGGGAGACAGAAGAAAACTGCAAAGACAGAGAATGCAACTTCTGTCTTCAGCGCTGACTTTCCCTTGCAGTCTCACTGCTGAAAAAATACAGGCATGGCACACACTCAGGCACCGAGAGACCTGGCAAACTTGTAACAGCTGGGCCGTGTAGGACATTGCTTTTACTTTTCTCTTTGGTCTAGTTGCAGTGTTGGCTGGCTAAACAAGACTCCTATCCTACTCCTTTTGCCTTCTGTCTAATAAGAAAGAGTCAATAATATGGTAGAGAAGGAAAAGGGACTCCCAGGAGGCTGTGACAAAGTTTCATGGCCCAAATGCAGTTTGGAATCTAGCCAGAACTGGTGGCAGTATCAACTGCATGTGGCTCTCTGGTCAGGACATCTCTCAAGAGTTGGATGAAAAAGGGTTAGTCATGTCACGAGATCGTAGGGTACCAGGAAACAGTGGGTGCTCAAACATGATGGAAAAGCTTACTCCTTCCTGGGCTGTTTTTTTCATCTTTCAATCAGCCAGCATTTCTAGCTTATCTCCTCCAAAATGGTCTTTTTGAAGGCCCCAAAAGTAGTAGAGGGCAGAATAGCTCATCCCTCATTTTTCTGTTGGGCCTCATTTTCAACACAGCAGCTTTTGTTTCATTAATTTCTGGTCCCACACTCTTTTTTTCCATGAATACCAAATGTGAATTTAACACAATCCTTGAATTATATCGGTAGGTCTTTTTTGTCGAGATTACTCTAATCTGTCTACCACTTGTACCTTTTCCTCATCAACTTCTATTGTTAATTTATTGTGATACTGTATAAACCTTTATCCACTTTCCCTCAGTTAGGCTCTGGAGACCCCAGTTATTACTGCAGTCCAATCCATTTGAACCAGACCAGTGAATGGAACACTGATTAACAAGCAATTCTGTTTATATCCAAGTTTACGTGTCTTTACACATTTGACATGTAACTTTTGTAGAATATGAATGTAAATACAACATTGCTAGCCTTTCACAGGGAACTCCTTTCATAGGGAATCTCAAAGTACTTTATGCTTACTTGAGGCTTTACATCAAAGTATCCCCATATCAATGTTCTCTCTAATCTTTTCCATCCATGTGTGGAATACATTTCTATGTGCATCAAAAATGTGCACCACCAATAGAAACAACCTAGCTGTGGATGCTCTGTTAATCAGTTGGGTGGCACTGGAATCTCTCCTGAGCAGATGCATAAACACACAGCTACAGGGAACACTGCCTCACATGTTATCTAAATCACATGGTTTCTCAGAGAAACCATTTTCCCCACAACCTTGTAAAGGTGAATATTGTCAGATGCATAGTGACTAATGCAGGGCTCCACAGGGACCTTTACTAATGTACTGATCAAACCTGCAAGATCCAGAGGCCTTTCAACAGCCACTGTCCTCAGATTCAAACCCTCTTTTACATATCTGGTATAGGAATGATTTTCATAAGTTCTCTATGCTTCTCAGGAGGAGGGATGGAAAGGCAAGCCATGCCATACTTACCGCAGCCAGCTCAGTGCCAGGTTAGTCCCCTGCAAAACCATCCTTACCCATATGCAGAATACAAGGCTGCATAGGGCACCAATGGGTCTTAATGTTCACCTCTTCTTGTCCCTGTTCTGTGGCTCTGCTTTCTCTGGGGTGGATCTAGTTAACTTAAAAAGTGAAACCTGCCAGACCACCAGACCTTTTAGCAGATGTTGGCTCTTCCACAGTTTCATTCAGGGGTAATTAAACCATTTAACAGGCATTTGCCAACCCCAGGTATAGCCTTTAAACTAAGGCTAGAGAACCTTAGTTTAAAATGTTCTTTAAAAATAGTTTATTTAGTGTGTTGTTGAAGATAATAAAATCACATCTCTAAAAAATCCTTCTCCCCTCCCCCTGGGCTGCTGTTCAGCTTAGAAGTACCAGAGTAACAGTACTGAGAAGGGTCCTATAAATCCTAAGGACATCCCTGGTCCCCTGGCATAATTAGAACAGTCTGAAGACTGCCCTAAACTGTGTTGGCTGTCAATAGCTCTTAGGAGCCACGAAGATGCTCAGGGATTGTGTCCACCAAATCCCTTTTACTGTAGCCATAACTCCAGAGGTGGGAGGAGGGAGAGATGCTGGTACAAGAGCCACTGTAGTATCTCTGAACAACCCAATAATTGTCCTATGCTGGGAAAATCAAAGCAAGTGCAGTAGCTGCAGAACAGCTGAGGAATTGGCCCTTTTATCTGATAATCACAGTGTAGGAGAAATTGTGCAAATATGACATGTCTCCATGGCTGTAGAAAATGAGATTATAGTACATTGTTTGGAAAAGCTAAAAATTGCATTATAATGTATATGCACAATGAGGCAGACTTAACCTTATGCTTAAACTTTTACTTTGGCATTTCATAGCCTCTGAGTGATTTTTGCCCCCGTCAAGGCTAATTCCCCACTCTGGCACGATGAATGCAGAAGTGGGGGCCTGCAAAAGTAACCCCAAAACCTGATCTCTACAGGCTTTGGTACAAAAGCTCTCCCCAAAATCCAAACACATGGATTTTGGGGAACCTGCCACCACCATCAAGTGCTTTTGAACCCACAAACGGGTGGACAGTTGAAACCAACCCCAGGGCACCCCAAGCTCTCGTCTCTAAAGAGATTGAAAAGAAAAGAGAGAATACAAGTTACAATCTGTGATTGCTGTCCCCTTGTCAGAGGCATGCAGATCCCACAGACAGGTTTTCCAGGACACAGAAATGAACCAATACCAGGTTAAGTAAAAAAAAAACTTTAATTATTAAAACAATACTACCGTTGGAAGCATAATGACTAGATGGAAAAAGTCACCAGTTAATATACTTATGGGTAACCCCCATAGGCTCAGGACTTAGTTGTAAAAGAGAGGAAAACCCATTTCTAACAGCACAGACATCAGATCCAAATTCCCAAAACAGAAAACAATAAAACCTGATGGATTTATCTAGACTTTACCCTACTTACACATTATGAAGAGTCTTTTTCTTGGAGAGAGACATGTCTTCTGTCTCCCTCATTATCTAGAGCAAACTCGCTCAAAGACAAAGGAGGGAAAACCCCCAAATTCCTTTGTCTCAGTTTGAAATCCCTACCTGTATTTCTATTGGCTGAGCAGATACCTGGCTAGGTATAGGGACATAGTTAACCCCTTAGTCCCCAGCCTGCTGGTCATCCCTCATGCTTATGACACCCCTTTGTGCTCAAGCCTTAAGTTACTTAAACATTAGCTCTTACTAGAATTTCCTGGTGTTTAAACAAAATTGGAGATAAAAAGATAAGCACTGTGGGAACTTCCTTTCTCATACCCTGCTAAAAAGTTATGCATCCTTTCCTGAAGGCAGGAAACTTTGTGTAGCTAAGGCCATGGTGTCCAAAACACTAGCCACATGTGGCTATTTGGCCAGTTGAGTGTGGCTAGTTGTCTCACAAAACTATTTACATTTTCAGAATAATGTGGCTAGCTTGCTATAGCAGTACTGATTAGATACCATGGAGCTAAAGTATGCAGTCTCAACCCTGTTTTTAAAATTGAATATTTACTTTGCTGCTAGTGACATTACTTATCCACCAGATTTTTAGAACTCAATCTGTAGCCAAAATACAACATTTAATACTTGAATAACATTTAAAGGTTTTCTCCCCTATCTTCTAAGTCTGCTTAGCTGCAGATCAGCAGTTAATGTTTCAAAGCATGATTTTTGGAGTGTATAGCTAGAGCATCTGGGTAAGGTTTTTCTTTTAGCTATCATGAAGGAAGAGATTAATGACACATACAATATTCTTGCTAACTTTTTTTTATTACAGAAAGTAATCAACTCCTCATCTTGGCTTAAGCAAATTCCCTTTTTTAAACCCCAGTAAAAAGAAGAAAATGTGTTCTTGTTAAGAGTACTGGACTAGAATTTGGGAGACTTTGGATCAAATTCTCTCTCTGCTACAGTCTTTCAGTACCTTGTTCTCGGTCTGCTGTTTGTATACTATATGTCTTCCTTCTGCCCTTTTTCTGCCTTCTCTGTTCAGAATGTAAGCTCCTTGGGGTAGGATCTGTCTCTTGCTATGTTTAAGTGCATAATGGGGCTTTAATGACAATCAGGCTGGGGTCTCTAGACCCTCATCTACACTAGGGAGCTATTTTGAAATAATTCCCCTTATTTTTGAAATAACATGTGGAGTGTCCATACTACCACACCCGTTATTTTGAAACAATAACCTGCTTTCCACAAGGAATAACGCCTTGGATGCTCCACTGCTGCTATTTCTAAATAACTACTCCTCAGGATCAAAGTAATTACTTGTCAGTGCTTCCTGGGGCTCTACATCAAGGTAGTGCATCCACATTAAGGGAGCCTGCCTCAGACAAATTTTGAGGCTTCCCTGTAGTGTGGACATGCTATTTTGAAATAGTTATTTTCAAATAACTACATAACTCATTTTGAAATAATAATTACCTAATGTAGACATGCCTGAGGAGCCATTGGAACACTCACATATGCTGTATAGAGAGCCACACCCATTCAGCATGGAGTGAGGCAATTGACTGGCAAGACCTGTCTGCCCTGCACAGTAAAGTTGGAGTGGAATTAGGGCATCCTCCATGGTGGTGGTTCCACCAGCCATTCTCCACAGCGTAGGCGAAAGCAGGAGTCAGTGGGGAGCACTGCAGCTGCTGTGCACTTCCATTGCCATTCTGGCCTGTGAGAGATTATTCTCTTGCTTTCTGGCCCCAGAGGGACCAGGGGAATTTCCCAGCGCACAACCACTTACTCAGCATTATGATATGCTCCTAACCACAGCTCTTGTTGATGGAAACAGCAAATGTTATATGTGTTAGCCCACATCTGAGGTTATGGCTTTTCAAAGGATCTTGCATTTTAATGCCTTATTCTATCCTCCTGAGCCTACTCAAATACAACTTAAAAATCACAGCAGATCCTACGCGCATGAGAGGAAAACCCTTTCACAATACATTATATTAGCAAGAGAGGAATCCAATTCATGATTATCCTCATTGCATCTATGATCAAACGTTTCATGCAGATAGACTTGATTGCCTCTGCCTCAGGTTCACTGGTTTTATTTTCCAAGCGAATGAACAAGTTGAATGTGACTACAGCTTCATTCTAACTGCTAAGGTCAATTACCAAACTGACAAAATAATTACTTCAGCTTCTACTCTTCCTAAGCATCTGTTTGTACATGTGGTAAGATTTAAAGGAGCACTGCTTAATATGTTTACTTGCTGTTTTACAGTTTAAAGTACTTAACATGTCACACCTCTATACAGGTGTTAAAGTGATATGCTTGACAGTATGTCTAAAACTTCAAGCAGATCTAGTGAAGGACTAGAAGTGCACACAATTTCTCTAGAATAGGACAGAAAGAAGAAACCATTGCTACCTACATTGCTCTGCTTAGCAGTTCCTGCAGTTACTAGGAACCTCTCTATAACCTTTACTGTGATGTTCTAATACCACATCACATTTGAGAGAGCTAATTTCCCCTCTTCCCAGATACAGCTACCAGCTTGTATACCTGCTATTTTTGTAACATGGACAAGTTGTCCAGAAAGGAGGCAGAACCTTTGCAAGGGGCAGGAAACTCATTGATTTGTCCCCAACAAGGAAGGGTTTGTCATCCACCTTCCCCTGGGGAACTAGTAAAGCTAAATTAAATACTAATATGGTGGAGTCAATAGGAAATGCTGAAAGAGATACATAAATCAGTGGAGTCCAGAGCCAGCTATGCAGATAGCCTATGTGCTTCTGCACTGTCTGCTAAATCAGCTGCCTTGAATCTCTTTCATCCTCCACATCAGTTTCTCCCATCTGTTTCTAAAATGCAG